TGGCGGCTCCCCGCTTATGCTAATGAAGCCCGGGAAATTCAAATCCCGGGCTTCATTAGCAAGTGCGGTATGCATACATTACCCCGCTAGTTTGAACTACCCTCAAAGACTGTACCAGCATGTGTAGCAACTCAATATAAACTTGTCTGAAACTCATCCAATTCCTGTCAATCTGCTTTAGTTTTACCTTTCCAAATGTATCCCTATACTGAGTGTAAATGAAGGGTTTAAATGTTAGTTTTCACTGAGGTAACTGACCTACCATCATTTGGGGAAGATGGAGACAGAGTTGAAGGTATATCTCCTGTTTCCTTTGAGAGTTCAGCTGTGGACACAAAAGACTTTGAGCTTCCCATATCTGTGTGGTTCAATAAGTTCTCAATAAAATAGAAATCATCTTTAAGCTGAGAGATCTGAAGGAACACTGAATCCAATCCCTGTCAAATAAAGGACCATGAATAGATAGATCATGTGTTGTGTCCATGAAATACTTCACTAGCTTTAAAATAACATATCATGCAATGTCTCCTACCCTTCTTTTCTGCAAATGCAAAATTCAATGTCTTTTTGCCTTTCTTTGGTTGAATTTGTATTTCAATGGCTAAGGGGCTACAAGTTCTGAGTTTTGAAAAATCTTTAGGGCTACAGTGACATCTAGTGGTGAAGGCAATTCTTTGTGTTTTCATTAGTTTTGTGCTGGATTTGATTAAACTGACACAGACAACATGTTCAAAACCCTTAGCTTTACTGGAAATGAGGTCCAGATAGGCACAGGTTCCAGGTCAGCTGGTTGCCAGCCCATCCGGGTCTATTTAATAGATTGTTTTTGTGGCAAGAAACTCCCCCTCTCCATTTGTTTTATGTAACAATGTAAGGCAGGGTGGGGAACCACCAGTTCATTGGCCTCATGTAGTTCATAAGGATTAGCCACTAGCAGGCTGTGAGAGGGTGTGTTTACCTGAGCACCTACATGCACTGGAGCTCCCAGTGGCTACGCTTTGCCATTCCCGGCCAATGAGAGCTGAGGGAAGTGGTGGCCTGGCCCACGCCAGTTCCCACAGCTCCCTTTGGCCAGGAATGGTGATCTGTGACTAGTGGAAGCTGTGATAAACTGTGCCTGCAGATGCTTAGGTAAACATATCATCTCACAGCCCGCCAGGGGCTAACTCTGATGAATTGCATGCTGCCAGCACTCAGGAGGTTCCCCACCCCTGACTTAAGAGAATGGAATTCAAGCCTATAAATGTACTCACATATCACATCCTTGGAACAAGCTATTTCTGCAAAGCTTGGTCTGCTTGTGATACACACACACAGGGTATGTCTACACAGCTTGTTCCCTGTGGGTATGGTTACACTACATTCCTCTTTCGAGAGAGGAATGCAAATGCAGGTGATCGAAATTGTAAATGAAGCACAGATTTGAATTTCTCAGGCTTCATTTGCATAATTGCATCTGGGGGCTATTTTGAAATACCCTATTTCGAAAAAAGAAATGCAGTCTAGACACGGTTATTTCGAAAGAAAACCCTTCTTTCGAAATTACCCTTACGCCTTATAAAATGAGGTTTAAGGGTAATTTTGCAAGAAGGGTTTTCTTTTGAAATAACCGCATCTAGACAGCGTTTCTTTTTTCGAAATAGGGTATTTCAAAATAGCCCCCAGATGCAATTATGCAAATGAAGCCTGAGAAATTCAAATCTGTGCTTCATTTACAATTTCGATCACCTGCATTTGCATTCCTCTCTCGAAAGAGGAATGTAGTGTAACCATACCCACAGGGAACAAGCTGTGATTGTTTCTTTTCCTCTTCTGTCCTTTTCCCCACTTCCTTCCCAACTCCAGCAAAAAAATAAACTACAATGCATGGAACTAACAGAGCAGTGTCAATTTTTCACTGTACTAATTGGCTTTGTCTTGTATCTGCATCCCTTAAACTTAATCTCTGTGGGCATGTCTACACTGCACCATTATTTTGAGATAACTAGCGTTATTTTGAAATAACAATGTGAGCATCTACACAGCCATTCTGTTATTTCAAAATAATATTGAAATAGCAGACGGCTTATTCTGAAATCTGTAAACCTTATTCTACAAAGAATAAAGCCTATTCTGAAATAGCTATTTCGAAATAAGGCGTGTGTAGATGCTCCACTTCTGCTATTTCGAAATAGCCTCTCAGCTGGGCCATACTAAGTTATTCCTCCCCAGTGTCTCCTGGGGTTCTAAATCGAGATAGTATGTCCACATTATGGAAGCCTGCCTTGGACTTATTTTGAGGCTTCTCTGCAGTGTAGATGTGGTATTTCAAAATAAGTTATTTTGGAATAACTATTCCAGGATAGCTTGTTTTGAAATAAGCGTGCAGTGTAGATGTACCTGTTTATCTCTATCAGGGGTGGGAAACCTTTTTGGATCAGGGGCCACTGACCTGTAGAAAAATCAGTTGGGGCCAGGGGTAGTGGGGAGCTGGTGCAGGGGGTAGAGTGCCAGTGTGGGCTCCCCAATGCTGGGGGAGGCCCTAAGCCTTGGAGGCCAGATCCAGGCAACTCAGGGTCTGCATTTGGCCCCAGGCCTTAGGTTCCCCACCCTTGGTCTATATATTCTAGTCCTGGCAGGACGAGGACTGTGTATTTTCTGGGTACATATAACAGCTGTGTGTTCTACATACTAAAACTATCTAATTAGGATCTGGCCTACACAACAGACCTTTACTGGTATGACTACATCACTCAGGGTGGGAAAATGTACACCTCTGAGTGACATAGTGATACTGACCTAACTTCCCCCTCACAGAGAGTGCTCGTTGGCAGGAGAACATTTTGTACACTTTGCTCCTTGTGTCAGTGTTGCATATCCTCACTAGAAACTTGTGTCACTCTCTCAGGGTGTGTCTAGCCTACAGGGTTTTGTTGACAAAAGTGGCCTTTTGTTGACAAAACTATACCTGCGTCTACACTACCACTGAGTTCTGTCGGCAGAACATCGACAGAACTCGGCAGTTTTGTCGATGGCGGTAAACCTCATTCTATGAGGAATAACGCCTTTTGTCGACAGAGTTCTGTCGACAGAAGGCGTTATTGCATCTACACTGTCCTTTGCATCTACACTTTCATGTCAACAAAGCAGCTTGCTTTGTTGACAGAACTGGACGTAGTCTAGACGCTCTTTGTCGACAAAGCCTCTGTCGACAAAAGCCTGTAGTCTAGATGCTCAGTACCCTCAGAGTGGAGCACTGTGGGATGGCTCCTCAGAGTCCGTAATAGATAACGTAAGTAACAGTGTTTGCACTCACACTCTGCCAATAGAAACAAAATAGAGGACTATATAGCACTTTAAAGACTAACAAGATGGTTTATTAGATGATGAGCTTCCATGGGCCAGACCCACCTTTTCGTGGGCCTGGCCCACGAAAGCTCATCATCTAATAAACCATCTTGTTAGTCTTTAAAGTGCTACGTAGTCCTGTATTTTGTTTCAGCTACACCAGACTAACACGGCTACATTTCTATCACTACTCTGTCAATAGAGTGAGTGCAAACACTCTATTTTTGCACTCAGAACAGCAAAATAATTCTGAGTGCAAAAATAGAGTGCTTTTGCACTCAGCAGAACAATTATGTCAGTAGGAGCAAAATTTAAGTGTAGATATTTCCATAGTAAAAGTTAATGTAAGGTGACTTGCGCTCACCTAACCCCACTAACCTGAAATCAGTCCTTTCTGTAACCATCATCAGCCATCCCAGGCTGGCCAAACCATTGCCATGCATCTCACTGCTGCCTTTCTGACCCTTCTGACAGTAGGTCACAGAGTATTCAGCAAATTCTTTAAGCATCTTAAACTTTACTATCATTTTCTGCTGAGCACACACTATTTTTCTGAGAGAACATGTTCTAACGAAACAGCTCCTTTTTCATGTATATCAACACCACATGGACATTTTACTGAAAGGAAAATGGCTGGAACGTGGGGCATGTGTGTAGGCTACAGCGTAGTTAGCCACTGTCCCTCATGATAAAGTTTCCCTTTAGGTCTATCTTCCTTTCATAATGTGTGAAACTGGGAATAGAGAACTATCTACATGTTTGATTTCCTGATCCAAAATAAATCACCACCTGAATATTCTGTATTTATTTCTATATCATATGCCTCTGTCATAAGTATCCATTCACAACATCCTCATTTCCTTCTCTTGGCACCCAAAATTCAAAACACTGTGGTGCTACAGTATATTGGAAAACCAAGCCCCAGTCCTAGGCAGAACACAAGGGCTGCAATTTCAGCCCTAAGAGTCAGCTGCTCTACTTGAATTGTGCTTTTGTGCTTTATGACATCAACAGAAGCATTTCACTGAATTGCTGCCTTGTATTCAGTCACAGACAGAGCTCAGTATTACCCTGCATTTTGCATAAGAGCATCTTTGAACATATCCCCAGTGCATTCAGAGAAAAGACTGGCTGGGGCTTGATAGAGAGCAATGGTATTTTCTTTCCCCTGGTTTAATCCACGCCATTTCATGTGAAAGTTTTCATTCAAGCAGTCACATTTCCTTGCTAGGTCAAAAATACAGCATTCTCAGATGCTCAAAACTATACTGCTAATAGCCCCAGAACCCTGAAACTTAAGGGCACATCTACAGAGAAAGTCCAAAAGAAAACAACTGGTGGCTTTGAAACTTAGAGCCTGGGTCAAATAGTTGTGTTCTGCAGAGCTCTGAATATGGGGCTAAAAATTGCTGCTTGGTCTGGAGTCCAGGTTCTCTCCATCACATGGTTTAAGAGCTGGAATGTATACTACAGGTTGAAGCTCTCTAATCCAGAATTATCTTCCCCAGAAACATCCATTGTCTGGAATGACTTTAGTTAGCTGGATGTCCGCTTTTAGTGGGTGTGGCCAAGTTTCCCATGGTCCCATAAAGTTTGTTTACAGCTGCTAGCCCTAGCTCTCAGGGTTCTGTGTATTATTTAATTCTAATTTACCCCAAATGTCCTCTAACAGCAAGGTAAGCAGTGGACTTACTGGTAATGCTGCTAGACAATATTGAGATCCCGTGATCCAGAAAATTCTCTTGTTCAGAACTGGTCAGGTCCCCAGAGTTCTGGACAAGAGAAATTCAACCTGCACTGTTTTTAGCTCTGTAGCACAAGCCCTGCAAGCCCAAGTCATTTGACCCAGGCTTTGACTCAATGCCACAGGATTTCTTTTGTTCTCTCTCTCTCTCTCTCTCTCTCTCTTTTTTTTTTAGTGTAAATATACCCTTAAGCTTCAGTGTCCTAGGCTACTAGCAGTATAGTTTCGGATTGTTTCTTATGGAAATATTGACCTAAAATACATATAGATTTCATTCTAGTGATAAGATATTCATAGACACAATTATAGAAATATTAACCTATATCTAAGCATTATTATTAATAAATATTTATGTTCTTGTAACACCCCAGAGTCCAAAGCTTCCTATCCTTTGTATGACTGGAGTGGTACTAATGGGTCTCTTCAGCTTGAAGGGTCCCTTAAAATATAAATTAACTACTTATGCTAAACAATCTCTTCCGCCTTGTGTTTAGCTGTGACATTCTGATTCAATTTCCCAGACCTGAAGAAGAGCTTTGTGTAAGCTCAAAATTTTGTCTGTCTCACCAACAGAATCTGGTACAATAAAAGATGTTACCCCAACCACATTCTTTCTCTAACATCCTAAAACCAATGTGGGTACAACAACATTGCATACATCAATATATGATGACAGTTGATGAGTTGAGACTTTAGTGTATATTCATGCCCCACGCTCCACTCCTTAATAGCAATGCTACGAATAAATCATCGGGTAGAGGAAATCATTGTGTGTTGCAAATCTTATTTAATATGAAAAATTAACAAGCTAACCTCCTCAAGGCGGTTTTGAAGGTTGCTCAAAGCCTCACTGGCATTGTTAAATTGTTTTTCCATGGCATTTATCTTAGACTCAAAAAGTTTCTGTAAGAGTTAAAGAAAAAAAGGTTGAGCTATATTTAAAAAGTTACAAGAAAGGAATAATCCATTGGATCAACCATTCCCAATTGTGCTGAAAGTACATGTAAAGGTTATATAGCTCTGAGGTACTCTTGTAAGGTTCAGCTTCTTTATATTGCAAGAAAAGTAACTGTGATAGCTTTGGAACAATACTGACATCTAATGGGCAGCCAAATTAAACTTCTAGAGGTACATTCCAACTTTGCTTCTTCATTAGAGATGACATGCTGAATAAAATTATATGAGTGAAACAATGCTCCATTGAAATCAATGGAATTTTTGTCATAGACTTCAGTGGACCAATATTTCATCCAATATGCAGTATGTACATCCAATTTAGGCTGGTGGTCTGAAGGTCAGTTGTGGACTTGCATTACCAAAATACTGTGAGATTTTCTTTTGAGGTTTTAACAAAAAATGTAGGCATTCACATGAGAAGTCATTCTTTTTCAATTTCAAACACATTCAAGCCAACATCAAAAAAATAGCTGATTCAGATGTTAGGTTTGAATCAAGGGAGTTGGATTCTGAATTCAAAGGGATTTTTTAAATTCAGAATTCTTATTTTACCTCATCCATAACAATAGCCACCTGTGCAAGTGACAAGTGATAAATATGATCTCCCAGTACCATTTTCTCTGCATTTTTGGTGGTAAAGGCAGTTCTACTATAATTGTTACTTATTTCGGATGTTGGATAGTACTTGGTTAGGCTTGTGATGGGGTGTGCATATCCCACACTAGGTTGGAAGGGGTTAACTTCATGCTACAGGCAGAGGAAATTCTGCCCTCAGAATGCATTGAGCATGCTCCAAGTGCTAAGCTAGCTTAAAAGGGAACAGCCTGTCTCAGTCTAGGCTGACAGCTGGAGAAGGAGGACCAGCTCTGGAGCCATCACAGCCTGTGTCTGTGGGAGGCAGAGCTCTGGACTGGATCCCCAGGGAATTACCTGCTGAGGAGCCTGGAGACTCCAATACCCCCTGGACAACAGCTTCAGGAAGTGCAGCAGTAAGTGAAGGTGAGTGAGCAGTATCTCTCATCCATGTGAGGTCACCATGTTTCAAAGGTATTCCCCACTCATCCAGTGTATTCTGCCACATTTAGGTTCCTGGCTCAAGAACCAGTGTAGTCAGGTGGTCCTGGAACTCCTACCCAGGCCACCACAGTCCCTAGTGGCAGTTCCTTGGGTATTGGTCACTAGAATCATAGAACTGGAAGGGACCTCGAGAGGTCATCAAGTCCAGTCCCCTGCCCTCACAGCAGGGCCAAGCACTGTCTAGATCATCCCTGACAGGTGTCTGTCTAACCTGCTTTTAAATATCTGCAGTGATGGAGATTCCACAACCCCCCTAGGCAATTTATTCCAGTGTTTAACCACCCTGACAGTTAGGAAGATTTTCCTAATGTCCAACCTAAACCTCCCTTGCTGTAATTTAAGTGCATAGGCTAGACTGCCTTCTATCTGAGTGTTGCTATATTGACTCTGGTCAGTAGGCCACCCTGCTCTGTATCTGAGGACTGCCACATGGAGTCCACATTGCCCTGCACCTAAGAGTTGCTATATTGCCTCTGGTCACTAGGACACACTGTCCTGAACTTAGGTGCCACTGTATTGATTCTGGCCATTGGGCAACACAGCTCAGAATCCAAGGGCCACTCCTCTGACTCTGACCCTTGGACCTCATCATGGTAGCCACAGTATCAGCACACCCACTGTCCATCTCGGCACAAGATCAGGTGTGCAAATATCACCACGGGATATTTATAAAAACTAGAGAAATTTAACATTTAAAATTTTTTTACAGGACTAGAGAGCCCCAGCAGCAGAGGTGGTTGGTGGCTAAGAGTGAAGTAAGACAGCTGGGCCAGCGGAGCCCATAGGGCACCAGAGCACTCAGCTGGTGGGGTAGCGAAGCCGGAGGGAAGGTGGAGCTTGTGGGGCAGTGGAGCCACAGCCAGCAGAGCTACCGGGAGTTCTAATAGGGTGGCAGGGCTGCTGTAAGGCTGATGGGACAGTCAGGAGCTCCAGTGAGGCTGGCGCAGCTTCGGGGGCTGAGAGCTCCAGCAGGGCTGCTTCAGCTTGCAGGTCAAGAGGCTGGGGAAAGGAGCCCAGTAGGGAGGCTGGCCCCTTCTCCCTCCCTTCCCCCCAAGACCTCTCCTGATCCAGAAAACTCCCTTGTCTGGGACCAATCAGGTCTTGTGGGTACCAGACCAGGGAGGGCCAACCTGTGTTAAGAACCTGCTTCTCCTCTTACTCATGTAATTCTCTTTACTCCAAGGCTGTGTCTACATTGGCAAGATTTTGCGCAAAAGCGGACGCTTTTGTGCAAAAACTTGTTGCCTGTCTACACTGGCCACGAGTTCTTGTGCAAGAACACTGACGTTCTAATGTAAGAAATCAGTGCTTCTTGCGCAAGAACTATGTGGCTCCCGCTCAGGAATAAGCCCTCTTGCGAAAGTGTTCCAATGGTTAAAATGGCCATCGGAGCTTTATTGCGCAAGAGAGTGTCTACGCTGGCACAGATGCTTTTGCGCAAAAGCACATGCCAGTGTAGACGCTCTCTTGCGCAAATACTCTAACACAAAAACTCTTGCATTAAAGAGTATTTGTGCAAAATCTTGCCAATGTAGACATAGCCCAATGGTGTTATTTCTGATTACACTGGTGTAAGTGAGATTAGACTCAAGGGTAAAATCCTGGCCCCAATGAAATCAATGGGAATTCCCTGTGACATCTTTTTGTTTCAGAATCTTAAATTATCTTTGTAACTCTGGGTTATCACATGTCCGTTCCCTGTAGTGGCATGGTACAGGATAAGGCAAGGACCATAGTGCTCCTTTAATCCTTTATGTGTGTGTGTGCGGGGGGGAGGAAGGGAAGCAGGGGTACTGGTGAATTTGACTGGCTGGCTGAATGAAGAAAACAGGGCTTTATGGATAAATGGTTTTGTAAAGGATTTTAAAAGGAAGGGTTGGTTAAAGGAACAGAATTGGGGGTGAGAGTGAGAAGTTTCGGGCTCCTGTGATTGATATGACAGGAAGTGAACTCTTCTTTCTTATACAGTAGACTTCCGATAATCCTATGGGACCTAGGTGGTGCTGGATTATCAGATATGCCGGACTATCAGGAGGTACTATAATCTGGTTATATATATACTGTATACATTATATACTGTATATAAAGTGTTCTTAACCCTTTTTATTGTACATACTGTATACAGTATACTGTAATGCTTTATTTTTTAAAGCCTTTTTTACCCCTTTTTGCTCAGTTCAGCTGCTTCCGCTGTTACCTTGTGACTCATTTTTTTGCTGAAGCTCACTCACTAGGCTCTTGCCATATTGATGCCGGACTATTGGATGCTGGACTATTGGAGTTTTACTGTAGCTTACTTTAGGCTCCTCTAAGAAAGAGGGTGGGTGGTAAGGTCCCGGCAATGGATTGGCTGGGGGGCCTGGATGGAAAAATCAAGGGTAAGCTGCTGGATGTTCCTAGGAAGTAATTGAATGAACATGAGTTATTGCAGTGGCCACTTTTATCTTCAGGGTAGTCCTAGACATCTAATAGTAAAGTTGTGGCCTGATTAAAACCATATCAGATGTTTCCGGTCCTTCTTTCAGTATAACCAGATAATGACGGGGTACAAGGTAAACCGTGATTTACATTTACAAAACCCATAATAAAAATTGCACCTTCAGTGTGGAATTTAAATGTCTTCCAAGCTGGAAAAGTGGTTAACATTATTTTATAAAAATGAGTGTCAAATTTTTCAAGCATGCATTGCTGAACAATACAGACCTGTGAGTTTAGAGAATGCATCAACGAATCGTCTCTTTCCTCCATATTGAGAAACTGGCCAGTAAAATTAAGCATGTGGTTTTGGAGCTGCATTATTCTGCCTTTTATTTCATGGAACTCCATTGCTGTGGACAAATTCAATTTATGAACACACTCAAGTAGATAAGATGTTCCCTGTGACAAAAAAAAAGGGGAGGGAGAAGAAGGAGGTTAAATTAAAGAATGTGGAATCGTATTTATTTAGGAAATCCTTTGAGAAATACAGACATTACCCAATTGCCCTATGAATCACAGGATCCACTTAATCTTCTTGGTTGTTAAATATCTGTTCTCAAACACAAGATGGAAATTGTTCTTTAACATTTGGAATTCAACAGCCAAGTGTCTTGCTTCATATAATCCTGCTCTTGCTGTATAAGAAGTTGCTTATGCCACTTTCAGACATTCTCATGGCAGTTTTGTACTTTAAGGGTCAGTTTTGGGTTCATTGTGTTTCACGGTATCTCTTTTTTGAATCTTGTATTTTTATATGATCTGAAAATTAACATTTTCTAACACAGGAAATTAAATAGGAATATCACTTCATTTCATGCCGACAGAATGATTGGAAATGAGGCATTTAAACAGCATTGCCTTAGGACAACACCAGTCTGCAGCAAAATACCATGGTCTGAACTCCAGTCACTCTTTAGGATGAAAAGTTTCATTCCTTCTTGTACCTGCCATTCAACAGCCAGATACAATAACAATTTCTGAATATCCTCTAGCATATTATGGATGCAAATCACCCCAGTCTCTGCACCATCCCAGGCAAGCTAGACAGGCATGCTAGTATGACAATGCTCTGCCTTTCAGTGGGCAAAGGAGCTTCATTCCCCCCCTTTATAAATATGTTTCATTTATTTTTGCTTATTATTTTACTACCTCTACTATATCCCAAGCTTCTATTAGAAGCCCATTTTACTGCCTGCTATTCACCCAAATAACACAAAAATAATTCCTGCTCCAGAGAGCTCACCATCTATGATAACATACAGATAAATAAAAAGAAAATGGCATGTGTGATAGAGGGCAGTGTCACCAACAGGAAGGGGAGAAAAGGTGAATTAGTGTAAGTTGGACATTCACTGTGCTTAGCAGTTAGTCAAGTCTAGTAAACTAATGCAACTTTGCTGTTTCCTGTGGCTTTGGTGTTTGCAGAAGTTCAAACCCACCAACCAGCTGGAACTGGACAGGGGCAAAACCAGGGGGGAGCAATAAAATTGTGGTGATTCCGTAGGGTTAGCTCCTCTTGGGCCACAACTGCTATATTTACCTGCACCTCTGCAGGTACTGGCAATTGGAGCTCCCGTTGGCTATGGATCACTGTTTCCAGCCAATGAGAGTAGCAGAAAGTGGCACGCCACTTCCTGCAGCTTCCTTTGGATGAAAATGGCAATCCATGGCCAATGGAAGCTGCAATTGCTGGTACCTATGGAGGCACAGGTACATATAGCAGTGAGGGCCCATCCAGCCCATTGGCCTGTATTTGCCCACTCCGGTCTAAAATGCTGAGGGTGCACCACAAAAGGTGCAAGATGAGAGCTTCCTGTGCATTCCCCAAAGTTCATCAGGACACAATCTGTTCCAATGAGAAATATTTCATACCCAATGTATTTTCAGCTTTTGAGCTAAACCAGGTATATTTAGAGATCTACCTAAGCGACACTATTTTACATATACCCTCTCACTGATTTAGTCAAATTAATTCTAGCGGTCAACATTTTTTCAGAAACATTTTGTTCTAGTCCTGATTAAAACAAATCTGGCTGTATTCCCTGAAATGTTCACTTTTCAATTCTACTAGTAATTTTCATCATGCTCCTTTCTAAAGAAGTCATCAAGAAGACTGCTGATAATAATAGGCTATAAATGGAAAACAGATATCTTAATTCTCCCAAAATTGGACAGACTGGCATTCACATAAGACACAAGCAAGAAGGGAATGCAAAAGTTCTAACATAATAAGATGTTTTCAGTAATATCACCATTTATAATGTATACTTTCATGTCTTTGAGATTAACCAAATAGATTACAAAGAAACAATCTATTTACGCTGGATGGATAGTACTTTCTAGAATAAAATGTCATTGGACAGATTTCATTTTACACCTTGTAGAGAAACTCCAACAGGGATGAAGCTACACATCTCTACCTGAAGGTGTTGAAAAGTCTCGTGTGTTGTACTTAGTTTATCTGTAGCTTTAACAGATCCCCTAATGTATGAGGATTCATATGCATGGATTTATCCCTCTTGCAGTTTCTGTACCTTTAACATATCACCTCATACAAATGTTTAAAAAATATCTCCCTGGCATTCAATGTCTCAATGTTCATTTGATTTAGACTCATTATTAGTGGAATTAGGCTGGAATGGAATGGTGGAAACAAACACTTCCAAACCCTGAGAAAGTTAGACTTGGATCCAGATCTGGATGCATACTCTGCAGCTGAGGCCCATAGCCCATTCTTATCATGAAAGGTATAGTGGTGATTGCCTTTAACCTTTCTCTGAAGCTTCTTGTGATGGGCACTGTCAGAAACTGGGTTCCAGACTCGAGTTTTTCAGTAAAACTCTTTTTTTGTGTGAAAAATGTGACACCAGAATGGATTGTGCATTCATGTTGATTTTGCACTGGCAAATCAGAAAAAGATATGCAATTTATGATACACAAATTGAGTATCTTTTCCCGATTTACTTTTGAAAGAGGCTTTTCCGAAATTTGGCAAGTCTACACAACACATCCCTTATTCCTGGTATAATGAGGTTTACAGGGATGGCGAAAGAGTGCGTCTGCTTTTTCAAACATTTTTCTGAAAAATCGGATGTGTTCCTTGGACATGGTGTTGCTTTTCTGGGATATCTCCAGTATCCCAAAAAACAGTGCTGTCTAGATGTAGCCTTATTGTTTCAGTCAACCATCCCAAAATAAAAAAAATTAAAAATTGTTGGTATGTCCATATTTTTGCGATTAAATATTTCAAATTTTTGGTTCAGAACTTCATTTTGCTTTGAAATTTCCTTTACTTTATAAATTAAAAATATTTAAAATGCCCAGAAATGAAACTTCAAGGTTTTGTTTCAAATTGAATTAATTATTTTGTTTGATCCAAAACAACAAATAAACAAGTGAGGGTCAGCCCCTCTCTTCTGTTGTGGTCTTATAAAAGTCACTTATCTCTCTCCATTCATCATCTGTAAAACTGAGAGAATACTACCTCTGATAAGGAGAACAAAATCCATATGGCAGTTCTGGGGAAGCTATACTGGGTAGTGGCAGATGTGCCTTCTACCAGACATTTGTTTCCTCATATCTGAAATGACAGATGCAAGAATGGTGACAGAAAGATGACACTGTCTGTTATTATACAGGGCCTGCCACTATTCAATATGCCAGGAAAATGAAAAATGCTAAGTGAGATAATAGTAGAACAAGGGCTACAATCTACAGGCTGTTTCCTACTGTTTATACTTTGTAGTGTATTTACTTGTCAAAAGCCCACAGGTGGTATAAGAGAACTATGCTGAATTAGTCTTCCATAATAAACTGGGGATATGTAAGTAACACTATTCTAATTGCAAAAATCACTGCACATGGCAAATGCTTAATGTCTGCAGAGGTGCTCTGAACTACTCTATGAATACCAAACACTTGCAATATTATCAGGGTTCCTGCATTGAATCCCTAATGACAGCTTACAGAAAATACCGACAAACATTTTGTGCTCATTAGCCAAAGATTTCCATCTGTGCTAGTTAAGGACACTGGCAAACATCTTCTGATCTAATTCCTTGATGCCTTTCCTCCTGGAGAAAAAAAGCAAAAAAAAAAAAAAAATAAAAAAGCAAAATGGATCATATGTTTCCCAATGTTAGGTGTTTACTTCTTGTGTGATTTTGAGCTAATGGGGAATGATGTGGCTATTTATGAAATTAAAAGAATGCTTTTTCTTTCTTTACATTTGCTCCCTTTCAGTTTAATTGAATCTATCTATGTTCTACTATTATGAGTACCAAATTCACAGCCATGGAAAACACATCATGGACCATGAAATTCAGTCTCCCTTCATGAAATCTGGTGGTATGTGCACTTTTACTCAATACTATACAGATTTCATGGAGAAGATCAGCATTTGTCAAACTGGGGAAACAGAGACTCATGGGGAGGGAAGGTTGCAAAGTAGGATCTCAGTATCATCACCCTCATTTATGTGCTGTCTCCAGAAGGTGGTGGCTGTTGGCCAGGTGCCCAGCTCCAAAGGCAATGCGTTGCCAACAGCAGCACAGAAATAAGGGTGTTGAAATCATACCATGCCACCCTTACTTCACCGCTGCTGCTTTCAGAGCTGAGTGGCTGGAGGGTGGAGGTTGCAGAAGGAGGGCGCAGCTCTGTAGGCAGTGGTACAGAAGTAAGAGTGATAATATCGTACCCTGCCATTCTTACTTCTGTGCTGCTGTCTCTTGCCTTCAGAACAGGGCTCCTGACCAAGATCTGCAATTCTTCAGCGTCCCACCTCCGAGGGCAGTGCCACCAGAAGCAGCAGTGCTCGTGTCTCCCTCCCCAGATTTTTTGGATCAGGACCCCTATCATTACAATAGCATGAAATTTTAGATTTAAATAGCTGAAATTATGAAATTTAGAAGGTTTAAAATCCTATGACCGTGAAATTGACCAAAACTGTAGTTAGAGACTTTTGTGACTATTCCTTCAAATATGTAGTCACATGACCTTTTGTTTTGAAAACTTGGGCACTGCCATCTAGAAAATGTGAAGTCATCTTAAGTTAGGAAGTAGAAATAATAGCATGTGACTAAAGTGACCCCCATCACACAGCACAAGCAGTGAATATGCAAACTAACAGGGCAAGAAGTATGTAGCAATCCATAGGCTGTCAGAACAATAAATTAGTGGCTTCAGTAAGGTACTTTCACTCTGAAGCAAGGGGGAACAAGAGAAAGAACTGTAGCTCCCTGAGTCACGATTTCTTTCCGGGGCTGCTCCTAACCATTTCATAAGTCTAGAAATTACGTCTCAAAGATCCCTGACGGTGTTGATCTCTTTTCAAGAAAGAGCACTCCCATTGCTTAGGGTCTCTGGATCCTGATGCCCACTTTGAGGAATAATTCATAAACCAGGCACTGAATAATTCAGAGTCATGAAGAAATTCATTAAAAATCTAGGTCTATTTTCAGATAACCCACAAACTGAAAAAAGGATAAATAACTGAAATTAATTATTCACTGCAAATAATTCATCCACTCCAATGATGAAGAGCAGTGAGCTGGGGAAAAGACTTGATCTTTGTTACATAAGGAACTAAATGGGTTGGCAACTCAAAGCCATCTTTCATTTTATATAAACAAAGCTGTAATCCAATAGCCAAGGACGGTCACCAGCCTGCTGCCAGAGCCTACTTCTGCCTTGGCAGCAGTAACAAAGCAAATCCAAACAAATGGAACATCATCAGAACATAATGTTCCAGGGAAGTTGCTGTATTAGCATTCTACACTTCCTAGCCCCAATTCTGAAACCTGGTCAAGGTGCATTTGACTTAGGATTGTGGGGGGATGGCTACTAAAAGTTTTATACTATATCTGTATTTCCCTGATATGATCTTGGAGTCATTTTGGGGGCCAATTTGGTCCCCTGCACACCTTAAAGCAGGAGTTCTCAAACTTTGTGATACCGCAACCCCCCTCTAAGTTGCTCATGACCCCCCCAGGGATCAGGACCCACAGTTTGAGAAACGCAGCCTTACAGCTTGAAGTTTCACTGGTTAGGAATGGCCCCCAAGGAGCAGCAATGTGTCCTAAACTGCCAGTAAGGTAGGGGGTTAATAAGACAGTCAATTTACTCGTCTCAGGCAAGACCATAGGCTTTTAGACCAGTTGTGTGTCCCATTATCCTGTTGGAATGGCAGAGCAGGCCTGGTGTGAGGTCCAGAACCTGGCTCACACAGCATAGGAACAAATGACTCTCTAGGATGCAAAGCAGAGAAGAATCAGTTCTCAGGTGTGGTTTATTTTCCTACTCTGAACTTTGTATGATGCATTTGTTCATTTTTCTTTCTAAGTGTAACCAGGCATAGCCAGCCAGCTAATTAGTACCATTAATGTGAAGCTACTGGTCAGCACTTTTTGTCAAGGCTCTTGCTCTGAGAATAAATGATGGGCAAATAATAGGCCATGTAAAGCTTGAGATGCCAGAGAGCCTACAGGAGCTATGTGCCTGTTTAGGATTAACCGACGTCATTCAGACTTGTTGAAATCCCAATTCCCCTAATGAACCATTAATGCCAAGAAATACCAGAATTTTTTCCTCGGAGCTATTTTCACTGTGGTGCTGAACCTGCATTAATTTCGTTTCTTCAGTTTTTTGGGAATTAATCATCTCAATGGATTTCATGCCCTAAAAACAAGAAAAAGGAAAAAAATCATCAACATTGCTTATAAACTATACAAATCACCTGATGTAATTTCCAATCAGTTCAGATACTCCATCAGCTACAATCAACAAACACTGATGGAAAAAATGTCATTCACCCTAAGATTGCTATGTTAGAAAATAAAGACATATGCCTGGTATTGGTGCTCTTGAAAAAGAAGAGAGAGAAAGCTTCATAGGGTTTCTGATCTTCCCTGGTCTTGGATGTATTCTCCTCCCCTAAAATACTGCTCAGAAGAGCAGCAAGTGAATGGCTGCAGCAAGCAACTTTACCTTTGGAGCAAGAGGGAACAAGAGAAGAAACTGTAACTCCCTGAGTCACAATTCCTTTGTATAGTGGCTCCTATTTCTTTTATAAGGCTCAAAATTAGGCCTCAAACAGGCCCTTAAGTTGTAAATTTATTTTTAAAAATTACAGATGATCATCAGTTAACCTCAGGAGGAACTTACCATTTCTAATTCATCAACTCTTTGTCTCAGGGAGACCATCTCCTCAATGGAAACATCACTTCTGGGGTCTTTGGCTTTGGGAGTAGAGGGTGATGGTTTCAATTCATCAACCTAATTGACAACAACATTTATTGGCCATTATTTCCCTGTTATGAAGCATCTAACCTGGCAAACAGCTTTGATGTGCTTCTCAATGAGGCAGTTATGTTTTTTGCAACTACAGAGATGGATTCATTAATGCTGAAGTTGTTGCAGGGTTCCATTCATAGACTCTGAGATTGCATGGAGGCAGTCTCAGAGGAAGCAGAGATTATCATGGAGGCGTTTTCACACTTATATAGAGTACAAGAGCTCCTATTCTGATGTTCAGAGAGTTCTGTGTTCAACTCTCTTTGGAAAAGGGTATGTGTATATGCAATGGTCCATTTTCCCATAAACTCACGGAATTTACACGGTCAAGTAACTTCCATTAATGAGGATGGCAACTGCATGCACATTTCTACATGTACCAATGAGAAAAACAGAACCATTTTTGTTTACCCTCTCTGAAAGAGTAAATTTATTTCAGAGGAATCCAGGGGATGACCCTTATTCTCCTACAAGTACACAAAGCCCGAGAGGTGGCAGAGAGGAGACAGGGCAATGGATCTCCAACATCTCTGCACTGGCCTGAGGAGACAGACACCCACTCAAGGCTGCACCCAGTGAAGGATATTGGAGAAGGGCATTGCCTCTGCATACCTTTGGCTCTCAGTGCCCACTAGTGCTTCCCTCCAGGTGTCATGACTCTAAACTACCTCAAGGTTGGCCTCTGCCTATAGATACAATTAAGCCCTTAACCTGCAAACTTTTAAGTAACAATGGAAAGAAGAACCAACAGTAAGAATAAAATAAGCAAAGTACTATATAATAGGTCTTTAAAAGATTTTCAAAATAAGTTTTAATCTCCAATGCATCACCAATCAGCAGGGCCTGATTCTCTTCTCATCAGAGGCAACTGTGTTGACTTTATCCATTTGGCATTGATTTACTGTAATCTAAGGCCTTGTCTACACCATGTAGCACCATCGATCTACATCAGCTACATAAATAGCATAGCTGAAATAGATATACTCACTATTGCATCTTGCATGCATTAAGGTATGTATGGGAGGGGGTGAAGGGGCTGCTTTCCAGGCAATGCCAGCTACTCTTCTCATCTTGATGAAGTACCAGTGTTTATGGGAGCGCTCTTTGAGATTGATGTATCACGTCTACAGTAGACGTGATAAATCGACTGCAGCATCGATCCACCATATAGGTTAGACAAGGCTTAAGTGAGACCCTAGATCTTTTCAAAGATTATTTTATCATTGTAGTGATTCAAGCCCTTTACATTAATTAATAAGTACATTCACGCTTCCCACCCATCTATTATGTGTTCTGTGCAATCAAAAATTTCCCAGTACAAATCTAAGTATGGCAAACAATGAATCCATATTTACCTTCTGACTCAAGTCCTTTTGTTTGGATTCTCCTTTGCTGTTTGTTTCCATATCTTTCTTCTCAGCTGTTGTTTAGAGAAGATATTTTATTTAAGAAAGGAAAAAATATGTTTCAAATAATTTTCATAAAATTGGATTCTGCATGAGCTAGAATTGTTTTCTCTCACTATACAAGATGGATATAAACATGTGGAATTATTTTAGGCTTTTAATCTTTAGATATAGCTAGAACAATCTGAGATAAACCAGAGAAAACAATTTAATATGTTCCAAGTATTCACATCCAAAGAAAGATATTTTTACAGTTTCATGTGGCTATGTGTAACAGACTACATCCATTTTTCTTTCATTCATATGGAAATTTCTCCTTGAATAAACTGCAAATCCAACACATCAGAAACCAAAGTAATTTAATTCCCGCAACAATTTAAAACAGCTTTTGAATGATGATTATCAGTGATTCCAACTGGAAATAATTTAGACACAGCACAAGCCAAAATCAGATAAACTGGAACCGAGGGTGTGTGAGAATCCTATAACTTGTGGCTGATTTAAAACAAATAAAAAAAATCACAACTATGCAAAAATGTATAGGATAGAAATAACTTATCAGACAAAGAAGCCTCATACTACATTATAACTAATTCAGAATAGTGCAATTCAACCCTTACTTTCACGAGTACTAACTTCACCAATGAACACCACCACAAATGCTATGTGAGATAACTTTTCCTCCAATTAGATTTCATCTTTCCAAAATGCTAGCATAGGTCAAGCCCACTCCTTTGGAATAACAAAGAAAGAGCGGAATAAAAAAGACAAATAGGTGGACAGACCCTATAAGCAGCACAGAAGGATAATGAGAGAAAATGCTGCATATTCCCCTACCACATAAATGATGCTTCATGGGCTTAGGGAATGTTTATCAGCATCTGGGTAGTTTGCCAGGAAACAGCTACTATGCATCCTTCTGCCTAACTATTACTAACATACCAATTGCTGTAGTATCTAAGGGTATGTCTACACTACCCCGCTAGTTCGACCTTGGAGGGTAATGTAGGCATACCGCACTTGCAAATGAAGCCCGGGATTTGAACGCGCGGCTACACGCGGCACGGGGTTCGAACGAGCAGGGATTTAAAAATGGCGGCGCCCAGTTTATGCAAATGAAGCCCGGGAAATTCAAATCCCAGGCTTCATTTGCAAGTGCGGTATGCCTACATTACTCCACTAGTTCGAACTAGCGGGGTAGTGTAGACATACCATAAGTCCCTGATTCAGAGAGGTACTTAGGCATATGGTTAAAGTTAATATATTTCTAACTTTAATCCCACTGACTTTTAAATCCCATTGAAATTTTAGCAGATACTTGAAGTAAAGCACATGCTTAAGAACTTTCTCAAATTTGAGTGTAATTGAATTTGGTTTTGTATATTAATAAATGACTAATGGGGAAAATTGTAAACATGCTTATCACTGCAATGTTTGAAATATCAGGCAGAATCAGCAAAACATAGTTAATTTCAGTATTGGCAGACATTTCCCCTGAAAAACAATCTCTCTTTAATGGGAGTAATTAGATTTAAAATGGTCAGGTGTGGTAAGTATGGACTGAGTCTTAAACCACTCAGTACTTACAACATGGATCCACATCTAAATACTGTTTGTGTGTGTGTGCGTGTGCATGTGCACACTCTATAAGCCTTCTCATCATTGTCCTGATGACACCACCTACTGTATAAATCATATGGATTGCTAAAGATCTAATACATTCTTTTCTGTTAAGAGGAAGCATGCACAGCTATTTGTCTTTTGTTTTTAACACTTGTGTGCCAGAGAATATATAGTATTCCGATGATATCATAAGGAAAGGATAGACCACACTTTATTTCATGTGGATTTAACCTGCCACATATTGCAGTTTTATGCTGCAATGATGCAAATTTTGGGATGAGAGGAATTTATAATAAAGAAACATATGGAGAGAACAGTTCTTATTTGCAAAATATTCTTCATATTAGGCCCAAATTCACAAAGGAAGTTAAATATATGCAGGTGTGTTGCTATTGACATAAAGCACCTACTTCCTTTCAGTTAAGCAGTTACATAACTACCTCTCTGAACCAGAACCCTAGTTTGGAAAATGGAGAAAAATATAAAAAAGTGCATAGAAAAAAAGTGATTCTGTAAAGAAGACCAGACTCTGCAGTGTTTATTTTGTCCTTCTTCAAGACAAAATGCCCCTGAGTTCAAGGGAAATTTTAATTATGTAAGTGGTAAAGGCACCAAGATTTGGTCTGATAGAATCACCTGGAAGAAGTATAAATGGGAACGGGTACAATAATATAAGAAACTGGAACAAAACAAATTATCTAAAAAAAAAGCTCATTATTCATTTCAAATAAAAGGAAAAATATTCTCTCCTCTTTTCAATTAAGTAATTTCATTTCAGTGAAGTTTTACTTTTTCTTTTAAATGAGTATTAAATACATACTCAGCCTCTGCGGTATGCTCCCATGAAGCGCACAGAAAGATTTTATGAAGTCTGAAAGATAAATGTATGAACTCATGGCCCCTGTGAGCCACAGTAGGGACAGAGGGAATGGTAGATTTTCCTCATACCCTTTTATCTGCTCTGTGGGTGGTGATTCCATTGATGGGAATTAATACAAAGAATTGCCAGGGATGTGAAACTAGTAATTCAGAAAGACAAGAAAAAGAAGAAATAATAGTGTTGTCCCTTGCTCATGGCAGTTTTTCAGACTGCTTCCTAAATTACATCCATTATGTGATTTAATTGGACCTCTCCTTTTATCTAGAGAGTCATCAAGATCAAAACAGTAATAAAGCTCTGTTGACAAGAGCCACAAAGAGACTTTGTTCTAAGAGTCCATCTTGAATTTCTGCTTGGTCATAGTCAGTGAACAATTAAGCACAATGTGGATCCCAGGACACAGTAGAGAAAGACTGCTGGACCCGTCACCGTGGCTACGTCTGGAGACTGGTATTATTTTGAGTCTTGTGGTGATGCAGAAGGATTATGCAACCTCCTCCCCACATTAAAGTATTTCTAAACGGCTAACTTCACTGGCAAACTAAAAATATTCTGTATCTGAAGAAAATAGAATGAACAGGTTTATAGTGGGTGAACCTATGAATGACACATATTGCAGAGGACAGGTGGGGTGAGGCAGGTGACACACAATGTTTATTGGTTTTCTGAAAACTCAGCACAACTTCATGTAGATTGTCCAGAATTTGCATTTGGCCAGTCTAAGCATTTCCATTTCTGCTGCCTGTGAGGTCCTTGGCCCTGTAAGGTGACCAGATGGAATTCAAGATGGAAAAGAGAGTAGGAGTTTTGTTCTCAGTTTTTCTTTTAACTAATCAATGTGGAATAAAAGAAACAGAGTTGATTATGCTCTTGAATTCATGTAACTTAGACGTAATTCCATTCGAGTCATTGGGCATGATGTCAATAGCACGTACTTGTATTTTGAGGTGGGAGAATCAGGTTCACTGGATTTACGCTGCTGTCAGTAAGAACAGGATTAGGTTTAACAAGTTCTGAGCCATATGGCTACATAGAGTAAATGGCATTGGTTGGAAGGTTCATCAGATCTCTCCCTGAGCCATTTTACCATGAGGCTAGCAGGCAGTCTCCAAAAAAAGAAAACCCTCTAACTAATAGGGCATATTAGTCTATAAAAACATGGGTGAAGCTATTTTAAAAAACAACAATCTTAATTCTGGGTATTCAGAGAAAACAATGAATTCCAGGGTTCAGTTTGTTGCTCTGCACCTTGAGCAGTGATTACATCTGTGCAAAGTAGATATCAACCATCTCCACTGTGATTTAATAGGTTTCACACACATTATTCACGTTAGGGTACAAGACAACAGAAGATCTGGAATGGTTCGTATTAATACTAGGCAGTTTTTCTTGTTTTAAAGCCATTTCATAGGACTAGAGTTCATTGTTCATTTTTTTATATGCAAGTGGTTAGAATTTTACACCAAAATCATACTATGAGCCTGATTCTGATTTCAATTGTCAGTGTAAATCAAAAGTAGCTCTGAAGGCGTTCATGCCAAGTATATCACCCAATAACATGGCATAGTCTGGCATTACCATGAGTAAATCAATGAATATTCTGTCCTGGACAGTGTTTTGACTACAGATAGATTTCTTAGCACAGTAAATTCCTGAAATGCTTTTGGATAATTCCCAATTGAAGCCCCAGACTGACCTTGCACAAATCTGTTTGTCAATTAAAATGATCTCCTGGCAATCATTGGCAATTACAGTCCACTGGGTACAGGCAGGGAAGTTAGGGTCATGTCTATTTTCTTAGTCAGCAAATTAGAACAGGTTAAGCCTAATTTTTTAGCTATGCCTTAACACTGCACCACAATTTTTTCCCCTTTATATTCACTGAACAGCTACTCAGTCTATGGGTACGTCTAGACTGCAGGCTTTTGTCGACAGAAGTTTTGTCGATAGCTACGATCAACAAAGCGCGTCTAGACTATATCCAGTTCTGTCGACAAAGCAAGCTGCTTTGTCAACATGACAGTGTAGATGCAAAGGACGGTGTAGATGCAATAACGCCATTTGTCGATAGAACTCTGTCGACAAAAGGCGTTATTCCTCGTAGAATGAGGTTTACAGCCGTCGACAAAACTGCTGAGTTCTCAGTGGCAGTGTAGATGCAGGTAAAATTTTGTCGACAAAAGTGGACTTTTGTTGACAAAACCCTGTAGTCTAGATACACCCTATAGGAGTTGATGGAGGTGGGAAAACCACCAGCTTTTTCCTGAACCATCATCAACAAGAATCCCGATAGTGATATTGCTCTTCACCTGGAGCAACTGTTGGGCAGTACATGGTATAATTAGCACAGCACAGAATCATGCTTCATCCTTGAAAACTGTATTTTTTGATATTGTATGCTGATGACTTAGGGAACGTGCAGGCACAGATGTTCCATAAATAGCAGAGAGAGAAAGACTGCATGATAAAACTCTTTGTTACAATTCCCAATCACACACTGCAGCTTCACAC